TGGTGCTGGTGCTGGTGGCGGTGCTGGTGCTGGTGCTGGTGCTGGTGCTGGTGCCGGTGCTGGTGCTGGTGGCACTGGTGCTGATGCTGGCGCTCGTGCTGTGATGGATGGTAGAGATGTTGCTCTTGATGGTGATGGTGAAAACGGATGATGAAGAATAAAATTTATGATGACTATGATGCTGGATGATGAAGACGATGTTGTTGATGACGATGGTGCAAATGCATGCTGCAGATTATGATGGTGATGGTGAATTTCACGATGATGATGATGATGATGCTGTTGATTTAATGGCAATGACACTGATACTGAGAAAAAAAGATACAGGCTGGTTTGGGGATGACGACATTGAAACTTGTCATGGCGCTGAGAAAGACTGATGTGGACATTCGCGATGACGCTGATACTGACAATAATGACGCTAGTATCATTTGCAACTGTCAAAACGGCTACTGATGCTGAAGGTATTGACGACAAAGATGAAAATAAAAGGGCACCGGACAGATTCCAGCAACTGCCACATGATGCCAAGCCGGTTCATTGACTTGCATCCAGGAGTCCATATCGAAGACTCTGAACATTTGCCTGCACACAGACCGGGAGCTACACAATGCTGTGTCTTCTAATTCTAGACGACCTCGCGGTCCGGAATTCAAGGCGATCCCTGAGATGCCGTCGCCGCCAATACACGACAGACTCCCTGTGTCAGACGGGCGAAAGTTGTTCATTGAAATCGTCTTCAAATGTTGCTGTGCCGTCGCCTCGTGGAACAGCGGACCTAGGCCTGCGAGACACGGCTACGGAAACGATGAGCTTCACTCCGTGTTGGAGCCAAGCTTCAAGCGCCACTGCCCTGGCTCCCGTTTGGGAAGCGGTTCAGGTTTGTTGATCGCACGACAATCACGGCGGCATGCTGAGATCGGGTTTCTCGTAGAACCGTTCTCGTAGTACTAAGAGCAGCTTGCTCTTGCAGCATCCCACATCCCATCGGTGGCGAGAACCATGAACTCGGTGCTTTTACTGCAACAGCTATGACCTGCGGCTTGCAGATCAAGCCATGGATCTTGTCACCAGTCTTGCTTTCAATGTCCCCAAGTGCGCGGGAGACCTGGAGGTGGCCGTCGACATAGCCTCCATCGATGGTCACGCCGAGCTTCTGCAGGCGATGCTTCTCTTCTGCGTTTTTCTCGGGGGAATGATCCATGGTCTTGGTTGAGACCATGGCAACCAAGACCGTGGATCATTCCCCCGAGAAAAACGCGGAAGAGAAGCATCGCCTGCAGAAGCTCGGCAGGCGCTGGGCTCACAAACAACAGCTTCTTGTCCCACGCGAGAACAATGCACCCGACTGTTCCCGACGACGTCCCGGATGGCAGCACCTTGGCCTCATCCATGAGTTCCGTCTTCATAAGATCTACGGCAATCTACGGCCGGGAACGCATCGTTCAAAGCTTCCTCCGTGCTGCCATCTTGCTGTGAATGGAGGTCAGGCCGGTGTTGGAAGCATGCTCTTGCCAGGCGTCTCCACCATGGCCGTCAAAGACATCATAGCAACGATATCCTCCGACATTGTCGGAGATGGCGACTGCGTCTTCCATGCGCTGACGCTCATTTTTAGCGATCGCGTAGCTATGTTGGGCATCACCCCCGGCGGCATAGTCCGGGAGCAAAGCACCCTCCCTCTGCTGGACACCCAACATTCACAGACATTGCCCACGGCAGGCAATGCAGTTTTCAAACAGGGTGAGCTAGCAACGAATTCGCACGGCATGTGAGGAGAACAGTGTGATGTGCCTCCCCCAATGCTGCACTATGCCAAAGCCCCGAGTCTTCTTTGCATATCAAGACGAATGGATATGCATCTAACTAGTAAGTATTTCTCGCACTGCTTTCGAGAGCTTCCTGGGCAAGCCAGTCACAAGCATCAGCAAGCAGTCTTGTGCGCAATTGGACTAAGTGACTAGCTGCCCAAGAGTACAGTGGGAAGGATGGTGGATGGTGGTATTAGTAGTCGTCGTCGGCGCCGGGTCGTCTTTGTCTTCTTTGCTCCTGTACTGAGAGAGCCCACTTTGCAAGCATTTGCAAGGCGGCCGGCCTCGCAATGTTGGTGTCCTCCATGTCCATAGCCTTCAGGGGCCCCGCCGGGACATTCGCACAAGGAAGTCAAGGTATAAATCTTAGTCAGGAGTGTAAGCCACCCCGGTTCTCCCTCGGCGTGGCAGGGCAATGACCCGCCATTGTTGATCTACGAACCGCACGTGATAAGGATATATATATATATATATACTGGTATACTCCTCGAGCACACGGATCACTGAACTAGTATTCAGAACCAGAAGACATGCACCTGGATGAACTCCTCGTAGTCGATGGCTCCGCTTTTGTCGACATCGATATCCTATGCGAATTCATCGATAACATCGATAATCAAGATGGTTGCAGCTTCAAGCTCAATCTACTGGCACTCCGAAACAAGAACCTGAAAGAACAAATCACACACACACACACGCGTGCGCAAGCCGATCTGCATGATACTTGGATCCACAACTTTTGTAAGAATGGAACCGATGACATTGTTGATGATCGTGACGACGATGATGAAAGCGACAGCTGAGATGGTGAATTTGGCACTTGTACTGCGTATGCCACACAGGACTGGCTTTCGCAAACAGGAGACACTCTGTTTGGGGGAAGGGTCTGGCCCCACTGCTGCAGCTGCAAAGGCCAGGACTGCTGCAGCACCATGCGAGATGACAAGATGAGCGAGGGCAAAATCCGATAAGCGGAGTTCATTGGTTCATTGGTCGACAAAAAGGCGCATTTACACAGGTGAGTGACGGGGTCTTCCTAAACCCGGACCACCCCCCACCACCCCCGTGTCCCCTGCACATGGAATATTGAACAGCGTGACTCCTGCATCCATTGACGAGGATGGTCGACACACTCACATCCTGCCCCGTCCCATCCCATCCAATCAACGTCACCGTCATTGTCACACCACATCACTTCAGGTCAAATCACATCACACACTTTGCTAGAATTCAAAAGCAAAAAACCACAAACCATGCGTGGCTGTGCTATGACAAAAGAAAAACACGGAAACGAGCCCGTCCCCGAAGCGCTTGTAGATCTTTTTGATCCTGAGCTGCGAGCCACAACGATTCCATCTAGGGCAAACTGCGGCTGGTGGCTCTTGTTGGGGAATCTTTGCGGCTGGGCGTCTGCGAAGGCTTGATCTTGCCCATTCCACCAGAAAGCTTGTGAATGAGCTGCTCGACCTCGGGAAGTCAGGATGGAAACAGAGACTCGCCATACTCATAATCACCATACTACTAGTAATAGGAGTAATAATGATGGTAATCATCGTAATCATAGTTCAAGCCTTTAGCTCCCTGACATGGCAGATCGCCAGGCTCAGCTTGTCCCGAGAGACGCACGCTCATGGCTCTTTGTTGCTTCATTTCCGCCTAAAGAGCGACAGTGGTGTTGATGAGCAACCAGCAGCAGTTCCCTGACATTTCCCATCTCTGAGACTGCAGCAGCAGCGTTCTGCTGCGCACGCCAATCGCCCTTGTTCTTTGAGAGCTCTGCCGTGGCCCTCAGTCAAAGCTGCCGGCAGGCCCAGCGGGCTTCTGCCAAAACGTATGCAACAGGTCATGCCAGCTGCAAAGAACTACTCTCATCTACCACAAATGCCAATGTAAGGCCGCAGCTTCTCTAAAGTGGTCGGGCCTTAGAATCAAGAAAGGAACTGAATCCACCCCATGCTTTCCGCCTGTGGCCTTCGACCTACGAGATGCCTCAACTGAGGGCCTTGCCCGACTCCGTAAGCTGCTTGGCATATCTGTCAGCCGATTTGCAGAAACAGCTCTGCGCAATGCCGCTCACAACAAGGATCCATGGCTAGCCCAGTCTCGACTAAGAACATGTCGCAAGCCTCTTCGCCCCACCGAGCTTGGTGGAGTAGGGCTTCTTTTTCGTGGATCTCACCTCCGGAGGCCTCTCCGTAGGTCAAGGTGTCAAACACGACGGCGGCATGTTCTCAGGCCGAGGATGGCGCAGGGGTGGCGCTGGAGTTGTCATCATCTTGTAGAACTCGTCAAACGTGACCTCCGATCACATCTAGCAGCTAGCGGTTGCTTGAATATCACAAAAATCTGAAGGCACTGCGCAACTGAGCTTTCTACCTGCCCATCTCCATCGGTGTCGCACATCCGAATCATTTCGTCGATCTCCTCGCACTACTTCAAGGGCTACGATGGCTACAATTGACACTTGTGGAGGTTGAGTTGACACACAGAAGAAACCCAATTTCAAAGTCAACGCAAGCTGGAAAAGGAAGTACAGAAGTGCATCCTGCTACATTCGGCCCCTCGTCCCCTTTCGCGGTGCATTGCATTCCTACCTGCCTTTTGCTGAGTTATCAGGGCCATGCTCCCAGCGATTTGATTCTTCGAACATGCTCTGGGAAGTATGGCCTCCTTCACTTTCCGCAGTGGCAGGGCTGCTTGCAAAACTGCACATTCACGGGCTTCCACGCAAGTCATCCGCTTTGACATAACGTCCTTCTCCGATGCCAGCTCGGATGTGAATACCTTGAATATAATTCATTATTTACTTTCCCTTTCAACAACCCCTCCTTTACTCTGCAAGCAAATCTTATCAAGCCTTTGTCATTCGCCGATAGTACTGCTGCAGTTACTTCGTGTTCGTCCCATATATAGATAGATACATGGATAGATAGATGGGTAGATAGATAGATAGATAGATAGGTAGGTAGATAGACAGGTAAATCGCTAGATCAATAAATAGATAGATAGATACATAGAGTTGCATGGAGTTACATAGATAGACAGATTGATTGATTGATTGATTACAAAGATAGACCGATAGATAGATGGATACATAGATAGATAGATAGATAGATAGACTGATTGGCTGATTAGAAAGAGAGAAAGATCGATAGATAGATAGGTAGATAGGTAGGTAGATAGATAGATAGATAGGTAGATAGATAGATAGATCGATAGACAGATTGATTGATTGATTAATTGATTGATTAATTGAGTAGACCAGACAGATAGATAGATACATAGATAGATAGACAGATAGATAGATAGACAGATAGATAGATACGTACAGAGAGATAGATACGTACAGAGAGATAGCTAGCTAGCTAGACAGATAGATACATAGATAGATAGCTACATAAATAGATAGATAGACAGACAGATAGACAGGTAGATAGATAGATGGATAGAAAGATAGGTAGATAGAGAGATAGATAGAGAGATAGGTAGATAGATAGATAGATAGATAAATAGACAGATAGATAGGTAGATAGATAGGCAGACAGATAGACAGATCTATAGATACGAGTCGATAAATAGATAGATAGATAGACAGGTAGATAGTTACGTATTTACGCCCCGCTCTGCGCAGCTTAGGTCTTGAACGACCTTGAATTCTGGGTCTTGATCTTTCGAACTTGGGCATTGGGTTTCCATTGGATGGCGCCTATTGGGGTGGACACTTCTTTGTTGTTGAAGGCGCGCACGAGCATCGGTCGCTGTGTACGGGGCAGAGCTGGGACCAGATCCACGCTTGCGCGACCGCTCTAAGTATCACTCCGACCAGACGAGAACGCTGCGGGCCGCACCGCATCTGCCGTGCGTCCGCGTCACAGCAGGTGTGTGCTATAGATAGTTAGACATATATATATATATGTGGTAGGTACAGCTGCTGCCACAGGCCGGAACTGGTCTCACCATGGGCCGACTTCGCACAAGCTCTCGGCCAGTCGATCGCACGTATAGTAGTGAAAATAATCATGATGATAATCATCACAAGAATATAACGTAAGAAGAAGAAGAAGAATACAGGATGCTGAATTATGAAGAATAGTGACAATAGTATGTCACAGTGCCTGTGACTCGAAAAAGGCGGCTGCTGCCACGACCCGCCAACCGCACCTGCAAACTCTAAACCCTAAACCCTAAACCCAACCCTAAACCCTAAACTCCTCGTGGATGACACGTCTTACAAAAACACAAATTATCCGTTGCTAGCCCTTAGGAATCCTTTCATACCGAAATCTGTTGAGTCGGAGGGAGATTCCAACACCTCGCCGAGACTTACAGTCTGCCATCGCTCGCACGCTCGAAGGTCCTGATGAGACACCTCCTCGCCGATCAGCTTCAGGATGTGCGAGATCCTCGTCTTCACAGTTTTATTCTGTCGAAACTTCATCATCGTCCGACAGCTCTGAATTCCCTACGCATTGCTGTCGAGACGGGCCACAGAACAACTGGGCATTCGGACTCTGCAGCCCCCACGAACCGATTGTTGTCGAGGTCAAAGGTTGCAAAAGCCTGGATGCATCTTCAGATCTTCAATTCAGGTCGGCAGGCTGGCTGTAATTTGAGAAAACCGTGTTGACCCTTGTGCCATAAAGCTTCTCTCACAGAGATGGGCCTTCGAATTCCAGAGCGCATAACAACCACGCACAAAGGCATTCAAAACTGTTCAAAGGTGTTCTCGTCTGCCGGACCATAGGAACATGCAGGGTACACGTCTGATGCAAGCAGACATCTGCAACTCTCTTGGTACCGCACCTCCTTGATCTCTTCATCTGAGAAGGGGCGATGCTCCAGTCCTGGCAGCTCGAGGCTTCTATCCACCAGCAATGCCAAATTCAGATCGGAAGGCACTTCGCCGTCTGAGTTCACCCCTGATCCACGGTACTCTCTAGGCCTAAAGACTCTAATTCAGCACCAACATCCGGGTGCCCCGGACCAGGTTGGACGGTGCTCGCGAAGCTCTTCACCTTCTGCGGTTCGGCTGCCTTTGTCCGGCTGCGAAACTGGAAAGTTTGGGAAATCGGGCGTGGTCCAAGGGCTGTGATAGGCTAATCGTATAGTCCAGTATAGTACAGCATAGTGTAGTATAGTATAGTATACAGCCTTCACAAGATGCGGAAACCCTGGGCTAAGCCGACGACAAGTAGATCTGGAGCCGGCGCAGCCTTTTTGAACCTGGCGAGCTCATGAAAAGGCTCTGGGTTTTTGAAAGACCTTCTGTGTCTCCTTGGGCCTTGGCTTAAGGGGCCCTACAGAGGTCGCCAACGGCTATTGCCAAGACATGCTCCAAGCATACCAAGGTCACGATCCCATCGCCGGCGCTGCCATGTCTCCGAGGTTTTGAGGCTTTTCTGGATGTTGCGGATGTTTGGGGTCGTGGTCAAAGCTTCGGGGTTTCAAGGTGGTGCTAGTTGGAGCATACTGGCACAAGGTGTTGGCTGCAATTGAGTACAGGAAGGTGGTGTCTGCTGTGACTGTGGCTAAGTCTTGCGAGAGGTCAAACCTGGACTGCAATGACTACAGGAAGCAGATGCCTGCTTCTGGCAGAAGGAGAGCAAGGTGTCTGCTCGGACCCTCCGCTTGAGCCAGCGATGTCCAGCGAGTGCAAGTCCCGGGGGAACACTGTACAGCACTGCACGGAGCCTTCCGATTGACACAAAAAGGCCCAGCACAACTTTGTGCTTCACCTGTCTCCGGTCCGCCGGACCGTTGGCGGTGCCATGCGCCTCACAGGGATTGCGGTGCGTCTTTGCAAGCGGGTTACAGCAAGCGTCATCTCTCCGAGTGTGTCTTCTACAGCTGCTTCGTTGCACATTGCCACGGATCTTATGGGGCAGGTCCTACTAGGTCCCCGTGTTTCTTTCTGGCATGCGGGTGTCAACAGAGTGCGCTATGCGCAGCTGAGGTGCCGACTATGGCACTAGGCTGTCTGACCCTGAATCCAAACTCCTCGTTACATTGGATGCGAGTAAACTTGGCAGCCACTGGTAGTCAGCACCTAAAATAAAATCGACTCCATGTCAGGAGGTCGGCCAGAAGTTCGGATCCAAGGATTGGCAATGCTTGGTAAGGTCTGATCCCACTTGATCCGAACCACTCGTGCTGCGAGTAGAGGCTTGTGCTGCTCTTCTGTAAATCACCGAGAACACTAGTAAAGTGTATCTATGCATCTCAGACACACAACTTTCAAACACAGCATGGCCTCAACTGAACCTACAAGTGGTGAAACAGACTCGGTGTGCTTGTTGCTATCTATGTGGCGCACGCAGCAGCTTTCGCGCTCGCTCAAGCCAGCGGTGCCCAATCAAACTTCATAACCATAACCGCCATAACCACTGGTAATTACGCAACTCGCAAGTAAGTCCTGCTTTGGGACGCAGTGTCACAACCGCGGCGCTTCCTGTGGTGCGGCCAGTGGGCGAAGGCATGCGCGCAAAGTCAAAGTACTTCCACGTCTGGCCAGCTGAAGCACTCTTTGCTCTCCCGAACACATCTCTCGCCCTCCTGGCCTCTGCAAACTAGCGACCTGAGCTGACAATTCCAGAGCCCCAACTTCGGGGCCACAAAAGAAAAAAAAAGAAGGCTGCTGGCTGTCCACTTCTGTGGGAAGTTGGTCTACAGCGTACACCATGGATCACCATGGTACACCATGTTGGGTGAGCAGGCCAGTTTGCTCCTGCACGCCTGGCTAAGTGTGCAGTCAGGTGGCTCCCTTGTGACCGCGATGTGGACTTGCTGTTCATCACATGCTGCCCTGCCTCAGGTAAATGCAAGGATATGCAAGGTTCCTGGTTTTCGAGATCTCGAAAGCGTATGCCCAAGCAAACTTTCGAGAAGGGCATGCTTACGAAACACGGCAACACCTGTGAAACTTGCTTGCTCAATAGCGCTTAGCAGTCTAGCAAGTGAACGACAGAACTGCTTCCATGCCGCGAAAGTAGCTGGAGGCTACGCCTGCAGTCCTGCCAAAATAACAGTGCAGATGAGTAGAACCCCGGCAACCCTTGCTGGGAAGCTGGTTTATGCTGGGCGTCCGGTCGTTTAGAAGAAGGCCTGTGCCCTGCGATCGCGAATGCACCAGGCGACGCACAGCCTGCTCAACGCAAGATCCTCTTAAGGAACATCTAGCAGCTATAATGTACTTAATATATATAATACAAAAATGTATAACACAGGCAAAAATATTATGCCATATATTATATGTTGTACCATATAGCGTATACTATATACCACATATCATACATCATACCGTACAATGCAAAATATAACTTTTTCATATATCATATATCATCTATGATATAGAACATCTAACATATTATAATATGATAGTCGAATACATAACACATAATATGTATACGAATGCTCTCAGCAGCAAGTCCAGCGGCCTGCGAAACGGAATCCTGAATCTCTTCCTGCCTGACCCGTGGCTGAGCTTGGGTTGGTCGGGTCCTGCGACCTGCGGAGCATTGCGGAGCTTATTATATATATATATATATGTTATATTGTATTCTATTGTATTGTATTGTATTGTATTATATATAATATTATATTACAGATATATATATATAATATTTCATATATTTTATAATATATAGTGAAGAGCCACGGTTTGCCTCCTCCTCGTGCTTTGGGGGCCTAGGCCTCGGCGCCTCTCGGCCTTGACTGAGTCCGCGGCACTTTGCCGATGTCCAGCCCAGAAACGAAGGAGGGCATCCTGGCGTCACAAAATGCTATAATATAATATACTATGATATACTATAATATACTATATAATATACTATAATATAATATACTATAGCTGATGAGCAATCCGGGCTTATGCTACTGGTACTCCCCAGTAGACTGACGGCACTGCATTGTCTTTTGCGCGCCCATCCCTCGTGGAATCTGTGGAAGTCTTTCGAACGCTGTATCCTGTATCCTCTGTCCACCGTGGGTCTGCAAAAGCCTCCTACGTGACGGGTGGGGCTTCATGGGCGTCAAGAGCAACACTTTTCAAAACAAAAGAACTAGGATTTGGGTCATTTGAGCCTCACCCGTGCTCCACTTCACTTTGGCATCACATCGTCAGATGCTGTTCCCCTTGCTATAGTCAAGTCCATTCAGGAAGTCTTGGCACTCAAAAAAGTTCCAGGCCCGCAGACACGGCACAAGAGCGGCTGCACAGTATCTACAGGTTCAGTTTGCTGTGCTCGGTTCAGCACAGCAACAACGAGCTCCCGGCCACCCTGGGTCTATGGGAGGCTAGGCGCAAATGGTATGTGCTGGTGCCCTCCAAGCACTTCCAAGCTGCGTGTCTCACGCGGACTGCAGCGCCTTGTGAATCCATGTAGACATCGCATCAGGTTCTTTCGGATATTTGGGTCGGTGACTTCCCGTGGCGAAGCACGGTGCCCGCTATGCTCTTCGGCCAGCTCTTCCAGCGAAAAGCGGCGGGGCCCAAGCACATTACTGCATCCGCGGCACGTGGCTTGGAGCCCTACACCCTAAGCTTGCTAACTTCATGAGCTTTTCACTGAGCTCCATTGGAGCCCATCTCCTCTTCCGACTTACTGAAAGCGACGCTGCTTCTCGACTGATGCATCCTCAGCTCCATCTGTGTGAAAAAAACAGCAAGGTGTTGTTCACACTGACACACGATTGCCTGCGAGTCCCTAAGCGACCTCGCAGGTGCCACTGAGCGTCTGCTTCAGGTTTGCTCTTTTTCACATCCTGGGCAAACCACGGAAGAAGAAAGTGCTAAATCAAGCTCTGCGACTTACCCTCTGATGTATCGGCTGGGAATAACCCGTGCTGCGTAGTAGTCGTAGTTTAAATACCCCTAGTTTTAAAGGTTGTATTTCCGGAATTCCTGGTTTTGCAGCTAAGAAAACCCCCTGTAGGAAAGGGAACAAAGTTCGTCCCTCAACCGAAATTGAAAAAATTGCAGTCTACGATGGGAGCTAGCAGCCCAAAATTTACTACTTCACTGCAGTTAGAGGCTTGGTAGAGGCTTCAAACTTACTATCTTACCGCAATATTAGATTATTAGAGGCTTAGTTGAGGCTTAAATCTTACTGCTTTACTGCAATTGAAGGCACAGTAGAGGCTTAAAACTTAAGTTAGCACTACTACTACTACTACTAC